TCACAGTGCATTCTTGGGAATTAAGTTTCTTAGAAAGCGCGGGATAGTAGGAGCTCACGTTTTGCAAACAAGGCCTTTACCCCTAGTGCATCGTAGGAATTAAGTTTCTTACGAAGCGCAGGAGATAAGGGTCTCTTTTCCATTCCTTTTCTATTCCTACACATTCCACTTCCCCAATATATTCCACAATGGCGCCATCAAAACCGAAAAACTGCTGCAAAACATGCACAAATCCCATAACGGCACGGGATGCCGTGTTTCTATGTGTCTCATGCGGAGACTCAATGCACTTGACCCCTAAGTGCACCGAAATGAGTGAACGAGCAATCTTCGGGATAAGTGAGGTCAGCCAAAACCTCCTACTTATCTGCAACGCGTGTGTCCGCCTAAACCATAGGGACCGCATGCTGGACAAACTTGCATCCACCAGAGAAAACAACGACATAAAGCCAATAGTGGAGAGCGTTGAAGAAGTCAAAAATCAGCTCCAATCCCTGACAATTAACATCGGTAACGTCGAAGGTATAAAGGACCAGATAACTTCCCTGAGAACCGAGATGGCTCCACGACCTGACAGTGAACTTACCACCAGCAGAACAACAAAAACATCAGAACCAAAAACCCAGAAGAAAAAAGAAAACTACGACGGATTACGGGTGCGAGGCATTGCAGAATCGAAGGCCAAATCGCCAAGAGAACGGTACGAACACGACGTGAAGGAAGTTAAAAGTATTCTGGAATTCCTAAAAATCGACTGTCCGATCGATGATGTAAGGCGATTGGGAAACTACGATGGCAAAAAAGACAGAACACTCATAATCAAAACAACCAGCGAACACCATCGACGGCTGATACTGCTGTCGCTATACAATTTAAAAACTTACTCTAAACAGGTATATATGAGCAAGGAACTATCCCCTGAAGACCAAAAAATTGAAAACGATGCTTTGAAACTACGCCGAAAGATGATCGAAAACGAATACGACAAAAAACGTCTACGAATCAGAAACCTCAAGCTTCAACAAAACACAAACGAAACTGACGACAAGAATCTAGACAACTGGGAAAAACTTCCGCCAGAACCAGAACAATGACTACATACTAAAAGTTCACTCAGTATTCTAAATTTCAATGTCAGGAGCCTGCTAGACATTAGTAGACGCATGACATTGGCAAATGCAGTTCTTACAAACGACTACGACATCATCTGTCTAACTGAAACATGGCTCACAACTGCAGTACCAGACGAGGCCCTCTTTCTATCAAACTACACAATACACAGAACAGATCGACCCAATACGGGTCAGAACACTAAGCACGGCTGAGTCCTCATTGCAGTGAAAGGTTTAACTCATAGCAGAATAGAACTCAAAACCGAACTAGAATGTGCTGCCATCGAAATCAAATCTCATCAGAAGCAGATAGTAATCTGCTGCTTCTACAATCCCCCCAAAAACAGCCCGTATAGAGCATCTCCCGACAACATAAAAGACGTCTTAAAACAGCTTCATGACTCGCTTAGTGACAACTCATCGCAACTCATCCTAACCGGAGATATAAATCTTGCAGAAGCAAACTGGGACAGCCTAAACTCAAACGACGAATACGAAGCCAACATACTGGACACTCTAGAAAAGTACGATCTGCATCAGCTAATCACGTGCCACGAAGGCAGGAGCCTCGATGTATTCCTTGCCACTGACCCGACTCTTGTGCTAAGTTCGGCTATCGACTCAGCACTAGAAGCACAATACTCATCAAACGGAAAAAAGTGTTCCGATCATCACGCATACAAAACTTATTTGTCCCTACCAACTTCGAGCAAAATAACAACCCCAGCTATTAAACGCGCATACCAGAAAACCGACTGGGATGATTTCAACAAACAAATCGTCAGCCAGCCATTTACACCATACTGCTACAGCAACATTGACGTCCTACTGTTACAGTGGTACAAATGGCTCGAGAACATCATCGACGAAAAAATACCCCGAGTCACCAAACACAGGGCAGAAAATCCACCCTGGATTAGATCATCCACCTCACATCAAATGAAGATAGTCGCGACAATGAAGCGTAAATACGCAAAAGCAAACTCACTCTCGCTACTCCTGAAAATCAAAAAAGCTGAAAAAAGCCTGAACGAAGAAATCAAAATGGATCAAGCCATATTCGAAGCTAAAGTATTCAAGAGCCGCCGCATGTCTGATCTTCAGAAATACTTGAAATCGATACACAAAAAGCATCCCCTACCAGACGAAATGTTCCTTAATCAATCACCGGACACAACTGAAACAGCAGTAAACAATGAACAAAAATGTTCTCTGTTTAACAAATTTTTCACCCAAGTTTTCAGCAAACAAGGTGAACTAACCGGCAAACAAACTTACTTAAAATCAGAAACAAACCACCTGAAACTATCCGAGGAAGAAATAACCAGATGCCTCCAATCACTGAAAACAAAAAAAGCATGCGGTCCGGACAACATTGGAAACATTATCCTGAAACACGCGACATCACTCGCAAAATCTCTAAAGCTCATTTTTCAAACCTGCATTAATAAAGGATCATTTCCACGCCGATGGAAAACCAGTGAAATAACACCAGTCTTTAAAGAAAACCACAAGGCAGACATATCGCAATACAGACCCATCAGTCTTTTGGCAAATGTATCAAAGGTATTTGAAAAAATACCCTTCGACCGATTATATCCAACAATCGAAACTAAACTACACCCAGCACAGTTCGGTTTCAGAAAAAACAGATCTGCGATCATACAACTTCTGTTGTTTCTGAACGAAATTTATCTGGAAAACGACATCAAAGAAAACGCTGAACTATGGGTCCTATACGTAGACTTCAGTAAAGCCTTTGACAAGGTCCCACATCAACCACTGATATCCAAAATTGCAGAAATGGGAATTGGCGGGAAAATCCTTGAACTACTAGCCAGCTACCTAACAGCACGAAAACAATGTGTTAAAATTGATAGAAGCAAATCTCCAGTCACGCCAGTAACAAGTGGAGTACCACAGGGTTCAATACTAGGTCCGCTCATGTTCCTGATATACGTTAACGATCTTCCAGAATCAGTCAAACCGAGCACTTCTTTTGGCTACGCCGACGACTTTTAAGTAATTGCAAAGAACTACGAAGAAGCAATTGTCCTCGGAACGGAAATTGAAAAGTGGAGTCTCAAAAACCAAATGGTACTAAATATGGGAAAAAGTAAGGCACTACGCATTAAAGGAAATACAGAGCCAGTGAGTTCAAAAGGCGTGAAACTAGGCACTGTCAACTCCCAGAAAAACCTAGGAGTGATAATGACAAAAAACATCTCGTGGAACGAAAACATTTAACGTAGGACCGGTAAAGCATGGCGAGCCTTCTTCAACCTCAAACGTAACATCTCATGCTATGCAAATCTCGAAACAAAATTGAACGCCTATGTAGGTTACGTCGTCCCTGTCATTTCCTATGCATCGCAGGTATGGTACCCATCAAAAACCGAAATGCGAGAAATCGAAAGAGTTCAACAAAAAGCTACTACATGGATACTTAACTACTCCATCGGATACAAAGAGAGACTACGTACCCTGAAGATCTTACCACTCTCAATGTACATCGAACTACATGATATACTGTTTCTTCAATCGGTCATGGACGGTAAATACAGCGTCAGTGAAGATTCAATTCCAATATCACTGAGAGAAAGCACCACGAGACTATGCAGCGAATTCGAGCTCAACAAAAACCGCTTCAGCAAAACAGACGAAAATTTCTGGACGAGAGCCCCTCCGGGGGATTTGGATTTCCGCCAAATCTATGAATACATACTTCTTTGACGGAAATCCAATCCCCCGGAGTACTAGCCAAAAAGACCTCGGTTTAGTAATATCTGAGACAATGAACTGGCTTCCACACATTAAGCAAGCTGCGAATAAAGCCAACTCTGTACTTTACCTGATTAAACGAAACTCCGCAAGACTTCAAACCGTTACAAAATTGAACCTTTACAAAAGCATGGTTTTACCTATACTTATCTATGGTTCACCTGCGTTTTCTTTAAACAGAGGTGGAATGCGTTTATTTGAAAGCGTACAGAAACGTTTTTGCAAATGGGCTCTAGGTAACGAAGTTTCATACAAAGATTGCTTAATAAAGCTCAATATTTTACCTATTCCTTACTACCTACAGTTGGTCGATCTACTAACTTTAGCTAAGATTTTGAACGGAACATACAATTTTGACTGCGCCTCCAAATTTTTGAACACTTCCCCGTTATATTTCACCCGATCTGCTGGTGCTTCTCTGTTTCAGTGCGCGCGCCCGATGAAGGAAGTGGCAGAACAGAATTTTTGGTTCAGAGCAAGACGGCTGGCTAACCTATGTCCCATCAAGTTGAACGAATTTGGACTGAAGAACAAGCTCCTGACATGGATGTGGATTGTCTTTGTGAAAAGTTTCTCTGAAAGCAACTTATGCAGCTGGAAGACTTATTGCGACTGTACAACCTGTAGACTTCTCGTAAACACCTGATCAACTGTCTCTGAACGGGGGCAACCCCTTGCGTTTATACGCTAAATTCCTTATAATAATAATAATATACTCCACAAACAGTTTCGCGACAACCCGACGAAAAAACAACTGACAGAAAGTTACTTCAACTACTTTGAAAACAGTTACAATCAGCTAGACACATGCACCTGGCGTGTACTGTGTTCCTGTGGATCGTGTAACCCCTACCAAAAACTCATGCCAGCTGAAAACTGAAGGGTTGACACCCCTGGGCCAATGAGCCCTAAAGCCTCTACTACTACTACTACTACATACCACCCATAAACCCATCCATAAAAAAACCAACACAACTCATGTACGTCTTGATTAAGGTCATTGGCTTTTTAAAGCGCTACAGAAGACTAACAAAGACAAGGACATGCTCTCAGCAACAAACTTAATTTATCAGAAGATTTTAGTTTGAATCAATGTAAAAAGCTTCCTCTCTAAAAAGGGGCTTCCTCTCTAAAAACTTTTTGAAATTTTTCCTCATATCTACATTTTAAAAATCAAATAACCTAACATTTAGACGAACAGAAGATGGATTATTCTAATATTAAAAACTCTAGTTTTCACTTCTTGATGGATATCACCACATCAGTTTCAACGTTGTCACTGTCGGAGGCTGACGCTGACTCGCCGTCTCCATTTGAGGAAACATCGTTTTCATCTGATTCATCGCCACTACTTGTTTCGTCGTCAGACGAATCGCTGGAAACTTCATCGTCCAATAATAATCTTTCCTGGAGGACAGTAATATATTCTTTGGCAGTGGGATTGTTTGGCTCGTACATTAATATCATTTTGCACAATTTTAAGGCGTTGACCCAGTCTTTAGAGTGCAAGCACTCCACGAATTCTGCTTTTAGTTCAACTGGCGCGGAATCATCTCGATCATCAATTGCACTGTCTTCCTGTTCCGAATCACTGCGTGAATCGTTCTTATCAGGATCCTCGCCTGTTTTTGAAGCTGGGTTATTTTTATTTTGCTTATTCTGTTCAGCGGTGCTAGGCTTTGCTTGAGTGTCTGGCAAAGAACTGCTTCCTTTCGCGCAACTAGATGAAGAATTTTCGTTCTTTTTGACTGATGTCGGTGCTTTTCCATTTGGGATTGGCTTCAAACAGTAGTGAGAGCTGGTCGAGCTCATTGTGTATGAGCTATCTAATCTGAAATAAAAAACAGTCACCACCTTACATCAACTGCAATTCATAACGTGAAAAATAAACTTCAAAATTTTTTTTTGACAACTTGGTGACTTTTCCACGCAAGATGCGCTCATCTTCGTAGTGGGCGTATTCGAAATTGTTGTGATAAATGCATTAATTAGATGTCATATGTTTGATGTTTAAGCCTGTTTGTCGAGCACCTTTTGAGGGATTTTAGAGAAAGGTCTGCCAAATAGGTCTCTGGTCCGAAAAGAGTTTCTGGTCTGGGGAATTTCGTGGGACCTTCTGAGCGCTTGCAGATTAATCCTTAATTTATACTTTTATAGTGTTTATATTTTCTGTCAAATTCCAACACTTTTACTATGGCTTAGTTCAGTCACCTTGTGCCCAGTCAAACTTTTGTTAGTAACTTTACGCCGTGCTGTCAAAATGACTATAATTTACACTCTCTTCACTTATAATTCACTTTATAATTTACACTCTCTTTTAAAAAAGAGGAATGTACAAGCAAAAAATACTTAAAACCTTAAGAATTTCTAAATTGCATTAGATGGGCTTGTTTGAACTGGTATCAAATCAATTGTGTAACTACAACTCTTAGCGGCTCTGAGATCTAATGGTTTCAATGTTCTTTAGCTGTTAAGGTTAATGTGCCAGTCGGTCATATTTGGAAGTTTGACCTTGAGAGAAGCAAAAAACACTTGATTTTGGAGTGAAATTTAATTTTTCAAAATTTCGAGTGGAACCTGTCATGCACGATTTTCTCGCGAGAACTGAAAATCAGAAAAAGAGATCAGAACAATTTAAGAACAGTTGAATAACAATCGCGGGAAAGTTGCTAGAAAAATCGGTGGGAAATTGCTATTCGCAATTTCAATAGCAATAATAGCCTAGAGTAGAGCTGTCCCATCTGAAACAGAGACGAGAGCATTCCCACGAATTGGATCGTTACGATTGGAATACTATTATTGACTGGACCAGAGTGAACCTTCGGTGGAAAGGTGGACAGCTAGAGTGTCCCAATGGTTCACGAGAACTTGCAGTCTAGAGTAAAAACTTGTTCTTGTTGTTAAAACTGACTAACATTAAACTCATATTAGTTACTTTATTGATTCTTGAGTTGTTTACCGACTTATTTATTTCCTGGTTCTTGAGCGTGCTACAATGTGAGTACTTCATTTAAATTCCTAGAGTGTGTTTTATAATTGTTATGTTGAGGTAAGGCGAGTTTTAGGTTGATCCATCTGAAATGGATCAAAGTTACACTGTCTAATAAAAAGTAACTTAACGGATTGTTCCAACCCGGTTTTTAACGGCGTTCATGTATTTTGGGTATCTAGAGACCTAAGTATGGGGACGTTTCTAATTCTAGAGTGGGGGGATATTTTAGTAGTAGCCTTTAAGCTGTAACGGGTCGTAGTCTCATGTCACAAGCGAACCGAACTGGCTCCGACCGTTCTTGAGGTAGAAAAACACAAGAGATGGTGTCCCTGACCCTTGAGCCAGTGGTTATAGGGCCTATTTTTCTTAAGCCTCATGTGTGACTGCAGTAGACGAATGTTACATAGTGTTTTTATGGCGCTCCTGGGTGTTTACGACATCAAGACTACGGAGTCGAACCCACTTGAGACAGCTTCGGGCTGAATGCCCATTCTAGAGTACCGGCGGTACGGTTCGACAGGAACGTGCAAACCTTCCGGTTGTACCGTGATAGCTTTTTAAGAAAACTCGAGAAAATTTCCTGGTACGCTCTCCGAACGAGGCTTAGCTAACCGAGTAAAGGGGGCAACTAGGGGGACAAAAACACGAGCAAAAAGACAAAAAGCAAAACAAAAACCAAAAAAAGAATAGAAAAAGGAACAAAAACCATAAAACGAAAAAAGACAGTGACTTTGACACCAGATTAGTTGGATCAAACCTTTATATTAATTAAATAGTATACCCATACTGTTTTACAAGTTCGATCGTTTCGATCAACCTAGCAATTTAAACCAGTAAACTGAATAAAGTGCCCGAAGTGGGGCGTGGTCAAAGGTTTTCAGATAGCTTGGAACTTAGCTGGACCAATAGGAGACTTGACTGGAAGAGGTGACCAGCCGAGTGGGAAAGTGGTTCAGGGACACTTGAGCTGAACCAATAGGAGACTTGACTGGAAGAGGTGACCAGCCGAGTGGGAAAGTGGTTCAGGGACACTTGAGCTGAACCAATAGGAGACTGGACTGGAACAGGTGACCAGTCGAGTGGGAAAGCAGCCAAGAAGGATTTGGCAATTCTCGAGTTCTCAAGTTGGGCAGAACGGGTATCGTTAGAATCCACATTACATTATAGGATATAAGTGTAAAATTGGATAAGCGAAATCCCCCAGTTTTGAGGAACGTTTTTACTTGAGCAGGCCTGGAAACAGGTCTACGGTTTTCTCTTGAGAGGTTTAGCACCCGGCGCTTAAAGTAATTTTTAGGCTTAAGAAGGGGGGCTAGAAAGGGGGGAGGTTAGAAGGGGTGCTGGTTAAGTTAGAGGTTGGCGGTTGTAAATTGTAAAAAGGGGGAAATTAGAGTAACTAATTAGTCGACATCGTTGACTTAGTTTCATTAGAAATTAACACGCGTTGGTAATATTAGGTGGAGATCCAAAATTCAACTCGAGTTAAGACTGGTACGCTGGTTGGTTTGGTAGGGGGGACCGGATATAGACAGCTTTTGTGATACCCCATAAGATCACTAGTGGGGGGAGGAAAACGCGTGGCAATTAGGTACCAGACATTTTTTTTTTAGACGAAAGGTAGACATTGGTCACCTTTGAATTTCAGGTGGGCTCATTTTTCTGTTTTTATTATTTTTCTTACTTAGATTTTTGTTGCATTTTAGTGAGGATTTGTGTTTGGTTTTATACGAACTGGTGATCACAAGATACCTGCGCACCTACATTGAAATAGAAACAACCAAAAAGAAGAGGGGGGTCAGCATTTGGCTTTTAAGAGAGGGTTTTTGGGAAAATTTTACTAGAGCTTGAGTGGTGGTACAAGGTACGGTGATTCAAGAAGACCCTACAACGAGGAAGACACTCCGTGACGAGTATTGGGACAAGACCGAAGAAGTCTTGGGACAGAGCAGTCTTGGGATAGTGGTCTTGGGACAGGGTCTTGGGACAGTGGTCTTGGGACAGGGTCTTGGGACAGTGGTCTTGGGACAGGGTCTTGGGACAGTGGTCTTGGGACAGTGGTCTTGGGACAGGGTCTTGGGACAGGGTCTTGGGACAGTGGTCTTGGGACAGGGTCTTGGGACAGTGGTCTTGGGACAGTGGTCTTGGGACAGGGTCTTGGGACAGGGTCTTGGGACAGGGTCTTGGGACAGTGGTCTTGGGACAGGGTCTTGGGACAGGGGTCTTGGGACAGTGGTCTTGGGACAGGGGTCTTGGGACAGGGTCTTGGGACAGTGGTCTTGGGACAGTGGTCTTGGGACACTAGTCTTGGGACACTAGTCTTGGGACACCAGCCTTGGGACACTGGTCTTGGGACACTACCCTTGGGACACTAGTCTTGGGACAGTAGTCTTGGGACACTAGCCTTGGGACACTAGTCTTGGGACAGTAGTCTTGGGACACTAGCCTTGGGACACTGGTCTTGGGACACTACCCTTGGGACAGTAGTCTTGGGACACTAGCCTTGGGACACTAGTCTTGGGACAGTAGTCTTGGGACACTAGCCTTGGGACACTGGTCTTGGGACACTACCCTTGGGACACTAGTCTTGGGACAGTAGTCTTGGGACACTAGCCTTGGGACACTAGTCTTGGGACAGTAGTCTTGGGACACTAGTCTTGGGACAGTAGTCTTGGAACAGTGGCCTTGGTACAAGGGTCTTAGGACACTAGCGGAGAGTACTGTGATAGTGACGAATAGTCTTGGGACGGTATAGAAATTGAAGTCAAATTACAACAAGGGTGTTTTAAGACTTGAGACCACATTAAGGGAAATTTTTCAAAGGTTTTAGAAAGAGAGCTACAACAAGGTTTTTAACACGTTGTACTAAATTTGTTACCACAAAAAATTTTTTTTTTTTTTTTTTGTTGTTGTCTTGTTGTTTTATTATTTTTTTTTATTCTTAGAATAGAATCGTGTATATAATAAAATTGTAAATAAAAGCAGTTGTAAATAGAAATAATGAGGCGGAGTAGGGTACCGGTGCTCGAAAAAAGGTCAAGTGGATCAAACACGAAATATAATTCATCGCTGCGCGGAACGACATCAACGGGCCCAAAGATAACGAAGAAGAACTTTTCAGTTAACATGGTCAGCACAAGGAGTACAGCGGAGAACAGGGCGAAAGAGGGCACGGAAGGGGAGCGAGTAGAACCCACCATCGAGATTGATCTAGAGACACCCGATCAAAGTGTGGATGAAACAAGGAAGATGGCGACAGAGTCAACTCCAATGCCCAATGCAGAGGAACTGAACCAGAAACCCATAGAGTTCTCACCGATAGATGACGCGGAAGATGCAATAGGCAACACCGAAGAAACGGTGAAAGAAGACTCTCAAGTAAAGAGGACATCTTTTACGGAAAAATTGGGAATAATGTTCGGAATAAAAACGAAAGAAAACGTGACTGAAGAACCAAAAGCAGAAAGAGCACGAACATTTGGGACAGTGAGCACGAAGACCTCAGAAGCCAATCCAAGAGAGGAACAAGCTAAAGCAGAGGCTACGGCCGAAGAGAGACCGACGGCTGACCATGAAGAGACTACCATTGAGCTGGGTGACTTGTTGGCGAAATTAAATCAGATTGACAAAAGACTTAAGCACAGTGAAGAAGACAGAGAGGTGATAAAAAAGGAGATAAGATACAACAAGCACGAGTATCTAGACAGTTATTTTAACCTAGCTAAGGCAACAGATGAGAGACTCAAGGAAATGTCAGATAAGGTAGAAGCCACCAATGAAGAACGAGAAAAGAACATCAAAACAGACATGCAACAGTTGAAGAACCGATATGATGATGTCAA